AGTGATCATTTATTGCAATGCTGCTGGAGGTGAAGCCTAATGTCCGTGACATGCCCAAAATAGCATAGAGCCATTGTCAAGTGTTCCTGTCCAGAACATGAAGCTAGGGAGAGGGTGACATTTCCAAACAATTTCCTTTTTTTTTGAGAAAGTTCATGCAAGTCAATACAAATCTGAGAGTCTCCCTTAGGCTAGCGGTCACCTCACTTTGTCATCAAAGTGAAGTAAAGTGCAATTCAAAACTTACATACGATTGTTCCAGAAAAAACAAACAAAGAAAAAGCCATCTGGAAGGATTTTTTAATTATTTATTTCATATTTTCTTACAGGTGTAGTATGTTAGTTTTTACTGCGTGGTTCACTGGTGTGAGGAAAAGTTTTGTGTAATTAATAGGTATGTGTTTAGTCTTGTTGACAGTGATCGAAGAGAAGAAATATTGTTTTTGTTTCTTTTTTTTTGTCTTAGTGTATTGATTGACAGCTCAGTCAAGTATGGCAAGTACGTGGGAGGTATTTTGCTGCTTTTTTGTTTTATTTTTATTGCTTAGAGAACAAAGTCGGAACAAGCATTTCTACAGAACGAGCATTTCTACAACAGATTTCCAGACTAATTGTTTTCATGGATATGTGCTGTTGAGTGACCTTTGGTACTTTGAAAAGGTCAATGTTTTCATCATGATATTTCAGTTACCAGTACACAATTTCCCACAGTTTTATTAGTCTACAATGTAGTATTCAATTTTTTTTACATTATTTTTTTCCCAGACAAATCACTCTGACTGAACATTTGTGGTGGGTGTTTTTTTGTCCTTGACATGAAGCGCTGCTGTTCATCATTTCTGAGATGCTTAATGGGCAGCAAGCTGAGAATGAACTACATGTAGTCCTGTCAGTGTGTGTCCCACCACATCAAAGTAGTTATCTTGTGATTAAGGTGTGCACATGAGCTTCACTGACATGTGAATGCTGACCATTATCTTTTAATTAGAGCAGCAAATTAAAACTGTCCCTTGATGCCTCCCGAAGATTGGGATGAGCAAGTGATGGATGTGAGACAGAAACTGCCACACAGACTTCAAACACCAAATTAACTTGACAGTGAATGAGAGAAAATGTGACGACAGCACATGGAATTTTCTCCTGGAAGTTTTTTCTTTAAATTTTGGTTCTGTCCAGCTTTTAGTTGTGTTTAAAATGGCCTCTTATTGGCACAATTAGATGGTTTAAGAAATACAAGGTTAAAGTGTGTTCTGACCTTATTTTTTGTTACAAGCCTTTCAACTTTATTTTGACTGAGCTTGGCAAGCCAGGTGAAGCTGTTCACTGGCTCACATTTTACTAGGACACCTACAGAAACACAACAGCTTTATTAAATTATCTACTAAAAATGGGTGAAAGAGAATTTACAGTAGAATGTTATTTGGCTTTGGCTAAAAATACAATTTAAAACTATTAAAGATAGAGAAAAATATTCAATGTAAAACTATTTAGGAAGATGTTTTTTTCCTATAAACTTTCTTACTTCTGCACAGTGTAAATACAGAAATACAGTAAAAGGTAAATGTCTGAAAAAGACAAATAAATGAATCAGTTTTGTAGATATGCTTCAGGTCATGTTAGTACAATCAGGTTTAAATTTACTTTAACAAGTTTCGACTAGCAGACAGCACATGGTGGACAAAGTTTTCAGCTTATCTACTGAATATCTTAAAGTTACTATCAATAAAAATAAAGGAATAATGCAATAAACACAGTGTCTAAAAAGACACAAAACAGCATTTTAATTAAAAATTTTTTTTAAAGAATTGACAACTTCACAAAGCCTCCTTGAAACTACTTTTCACTGATTAAAACGAAGAATCCATCCATTATAAGTTATCTGCTTCTTCCGTTCAGGGCCGTGAAGGTCACTGGTGCCTATGTCCAGCAGTCACTCTGTGAGGGTTGGAGTACACCCTGCACATGTCACAAGTCCATCACAGAGCTACATAGAGACAAACAAACTGTTTACACTCTTACTCACACCTAGGGACAATTTAGACCTACCAAATAGTTGTTTTTGTTCTTTGGAGGAAAACCCACACTTCATTTTACAACAGTATATTTGACTGTAACTTAGGTGGAACCCCCAAAAAATTGCTCCTAAAATTTCCCTGTGTGATGAATACAATAATAAAATGGGATTTTCGTCCTTGCCATGGAAATTTACTCCATGCTGAACAAGACCAAGCTGAAGACTGAACTGGCTCTCATCTACAGCCTGGATGAGTTCAGGAGGTGCAGTGGTGCTATGGCTCTGTACTAGCTCTTCATGGAGAACAATCTGCAGGACACCTTCAGAGACTGTGACTCTGCTGAAGATTCTTCACATCTCCTCTGACCACAGCTGAAAGTGAGAGGAGCTTCTCATGGAGAATCCAGACTTTCCTCAGGTACAACACCACATCTCACTGCACTGACCATGCTCTGTAGAGAAGAATCAGGTTAAAACATCCCTGACATCAACCATTGAAATATTTTGCTTTTCAGTTACAGAAGGGCAAAATTTATGCACAAAAAATAAAACACTACATGGGATTGTAATGCTTTTTAAAATCATTTATTGTTTTAATTTGTTTAATAAAAACACTGGCGTGATATAACTTAGTACACGTTTGATTGCTTTTTGAGATGTGTCTATTTTGGAGTTATAGCCCACCCCCCAGAGAAAAATCCACCAGCTACTGGTTGAAGGATATACATGTGACGTTCATGAACAATCCGAATCTTTTGAACAATTCTTTACAACAAACGATAGGAGCCGAGTCGTGGGCAGTGGAGAGCCATTTGTAGTTTTATTTTTTTTTTATTTCTTATGTAATCTTTATTTTTTCATCCTTAAATTGCTCCGTTTTGCTTTTTCATGGAAAACAGGCAGAGAGAGCGGTGGCATACAGCAGTTCAGGGGGAAAGGCTCAGGGGCTTTCTGCTTGACAAAACACATGGTTCTACCCACATAAAGTGATGATGTCATCATGCACACTGAGGTGATGATATATTTCTCCCTGTGATGACGTAACTCCTTCAAAATCGGACGGCTTTTTTTGAACGGCTCTATGAAACAAACGACTCCTCAAGATCCGGATCCCTTCAAAGAGCCAAATGGTCCGTAGTTTCTGATTCATTACAAAAACCACAGTTACAGTCTCTATCCTGAAAGATTAGGGATAAATACTATTTAGTGTTTTTTTATGAACTTCTTTGACTTTTCAATGAATATGGAATTTTACATCATGTTCATATTTTCACATTCTCTTTCATTTTTATGTATGAATGTCAAAATATTTAACTGAGGATTTAATTAGAATGCTGTCAGCTTCTGTATGTTAGCACTGGTTAATGGGCGTCGGTGGGCAATGAGTTTTTATTTCAGATAAGAAAAATATAGTTCCCAGTGGAACTGTGAATCCTGAAAGAATCTTAATCAATCCCTTCATAAATTTAGAAACGTACAGTGGAAGGAATAAGTATTTGATCCCTTGCTGATGTTCCAAGTTTGACCACTTTAAAAAAACATGAACAGTCTATAATTTCAAGAGTAGGTTAATTTTAAGTGAGAAATAGAATATAAAAAAATCCACAAAATTACTTTGAATGAACCAGAACCAGATCACTGAAATTACCCCAACTCAATTAAGTGAGGTACCTAGATAACAAATTTGTTCCCCAAGATAATGTTCTTATACATTCTATTACAGTTTTATAATAAATAATAATTTGAAGGTATTCAGTATATTGTATTGATATGTCTGTCTCAAGTGGAAAAGTTTGGAAATGGGTTTCCTCTGCAGGGTGGCTGGGCTCTCCCTTATGCTGCGTTCACACCGAACGCGATTTCAGCTTCAAAATCGCAGCCAACGCTGAAGTTTGAAGCTTGTGCACTTTGAGGTCAGACGCAGGTCAGCTCTTGAAGCGCTGCACGGCAGCAACAGCCTCCCCTCCCTCCTCTGTCGGGCTCTGTTTAATGTCGGATGAGGAAGTGGATTTGCTTTATTTACAGAGAGCAAGAGC